CCTGGGAAACATGTGGTCAGAGCTGCGTTTTATAAAAGCAGCTGCAGCCCGTGACACACTCTGTACCAGGAGATTTACGGGGCTGCACGGTTTTAATGGTTTCTGTGGGGTTAGTGTCCTCCCCCATCCGTCCTGGCCGCTGTCTCGGAGACAGATGGGTGACAAGCCTTCCCTGGCCGGACCGGCCCAACAGGAAGGTATGGCTGGGCGGGGGGAGGCCCGGGGCTGGCCACCCAGGCCTCCCTGGGAGGGGCAGCTGCTGGGGAGCCCTTGGGGGCCTTCCCCGAGCAGCCCATAAATCCAGGAGACCTCCAGGCGGCAGGAAGCCTCCCCGCAGAGGTGTCTCAGGGCTCAAGGCTTGTGGGTAGAGGAGGATGGCTGACAGCCCTCTCCCCCGAGCCCCTCCCCCGGAGCCCCTCCCCCGGAGCCCCTCCCCTGGAGCCCCTCCCCCAGAGTCCCTCTCCCCCCAGAGCCCCTCCCCCAGAGCCTCTTCCCCAGAGTCTCTCCCCCAGAGCCTCTCCCACCCCTCCCACAGATGAGTGACGTCCCCCAACCTGCAAGCAAGGACACAAGCAGTTTGGAGCTACTTCCTGCTGTGCTGGGTCCTCTGAGGGCCCAGAGCTGACAGGCCGCGAGTCTCCTGGGCCACGCCCGGCGCTGGGGAGGGAGGTCCGGGATGATGAACAGGCTGCCTGCTGTGGGGCAGCGAGACCCCTTCGGGGGGACCCAAGCACAGGACCTGCTTCTGCTGGCCTGGGAATCTGTTGGCCTTAGGACCCTGTAGGGTCAGGGAGCTCTGGGAAGGATGGCTGAGGCCTGCGCCTGTAGCCGGGCACGGGACGCCCTGCACTGGGGCCTGGGACGCCCCACCCAGCAGCCCAGAGGATCCCCCGGGCTGCCCCCCTCCCCCCCGCCCCTTGGCCAGACCAGCCCCACCCTGGCCCAGGCCGTTGTTGCTGACTCCGGCCCAGGAGCCCGGCCTGGCCCTCATCCCGCTCTGGCCCCCTTGAAGTCACGGGACGGAGAGGTGCGTGCCCCCGCCCGCCCAGCAGCGGGCTTAACCTAAAGAAGTCGGTCATCCCAGGCCTGCCCCCGTGGCCGCTAAGTCCTTCCTGTGAGCCCCGGCATGGCTGGTGGGGGTGGCCGCTGTCCGCCTCGCGCGCAGCCTTGCTAAGGAGCCCTGCGGCTGCAGACGGGCGGCACCTCGGGGACGCCAAGGCCAGGAGACAAAGTGTGGCCCGGCCTGTAGGACTGGGGCGTCGGGGGGCCAGCTCCTTGCTCCGGGAGCCTGTGAGCTCTCTGCTCGCTTTTCCGTGGGCATCCGTCCCACTCTGCAGCCCGCGGGTGCCCCAGCTCGGCCGCACCTTCCAGAGCCGACCTCACCCCTCCCGCCTCGCGGGCTCCGGTTCCCACACCCCATGCCTGCTTTTGTCTGTGCAGAGCAGGGCTCCGGCTCAGGAGCAGTGTTGCCACTGAGGCCGGGGGTCGGAGGGGGCCGAGGCACCGGCAGCCTGGGCCAGGCTCCCCCTCGCAGCCAGCATCTGCCTCCGAGAAGGACCGCTGTGGCTTTGCGGCCGGGACCCTCTTCCTGAAGGCCGGTCCCAGCGCGCCTCTTAGCATCCCAGGCTGATCTCACGGTCTGCCTTTCCGCACCCCGTCTCTCCCATTCCTGCATGCAGGCTGGGGGACCCTCCCCCGATCCCCCGCATCCTGCCCTCGTTGAGGTCAGGTGCACAGACGGCGGGGGTTTAGGCATCCGGAGGGCTGAGGCTAACTGGCCGGGGCTGCGTGTCCTGTGGGTGGAAGAGGCACAGCCTCGGGGAACGGGGTCCTTGGAGGGGCGGGGCCGTGCCCAGCGTGTCCGCCGGGCAGTGCCTTGGTGGTGGTGGGGGGGCTGCTGGGAGACCCCAGTCGTTCCGGGCTCCCAGCCAGTGGGGCCAGCGGGCCTGGCACTGCGCGGTGCCCGGTGCGCTCCCGGGCGTGCGGAGCGCCTCGGCCTGAGGTCACCGTTCCAGTGTGTATTTTGAATATTTTCGGCTGTATGTGCGCTGCAGGGACTTGGCCCGTGCGCTGCGTGTGCGGCTCATACTTGGTGGGCTGTGTAATGTGCGGAGGCGTCGCCAAGGGCGGCGGAGCGGTGGCTGTTTTCCAGCAGAATCACAAGCGTCCGCCGCCCGCGCCCCCGCCCCCGCCCCGTGCCGGCCGCTGTGGGGCCGGGGAGCTACTGGGGGAGGAGGGGTCCCCGCCCACCGCTCTGGCCCCCAGATTCTCGGGGACGGCGAGGTGTCCAGAGCTGGGTCCCGCTCTGGCTGCGTCCTCGGCGCTAAGCGGATCCCCCCCTGCTCCCTGCCTCCGACCAGAACGGGTGCTGAGGGGGCTGCTTTGGATGCCTTGCCCGTTGTTCCAGGGAATTCCTTGAGGGGAGGGAGGGCCCAGACCAGGGAAGGTGGGGCAGGGGAGCCCCGGGGAGCGGGAAGGGCCCCTGGGGGCCTGGAGGGCCAGCCCGAGGCCCCACCTTGTCTGGCCCGCTCTCTCCGGCCTCCTCAGCGCAGCGGGGACAGCTCCCTGGGGCCACGGGGACCGAGCACCACAGCCTGGGCTCTGGCAACGGAAGTGTGTCACCTCATGGTTCTGGGGGCCGGGAGCCCGAGATCCAGGGAGGCGGCTCGCTTGGCCTCTCCCCTTGGCTGCCTGGTGGCCGTCCTTGCTGTGTCTTCATGGGGACTCTCCTCTGATCTCCTCTCCTCACGAGGACACCATACTGATTAGGGCCCCCCAATTATTTTGTCTTAATTATCTCTGTTAAGGGCTGGCCTCTGAACACATGGGGGGCAGGGGGCGGTTAGCACTGCATCATGTGAATCTGGGGGACGCAGTCTAGCCTGTAACACCTACAGATGCTCAGTGCCTGGGATCACAGCTGCGTCCTCCGGGGTCCCCCCGCGGGCGGGGGTGGGGGCCGGCGTGGCCGGGCCGGGGTCTGCGATCACACACAGGGAAACAGCGGCATCCTGAGGGAGGCTCATTGTGTATTCATCTCAGTCCCACGGAGAGGAAACCGGGGTTCCCAGGGACGCTGGCTCCCCCGTCGCTCAGCCGAGGGGCACTCAGTTGCCACGGTGACCCCCATCTGCACAAACACACGGCCCGGCCGCTCCTGCGGGCTGGAGGGCTCCCCACCCCACCTCGAGTTCACACTGAGTGTGGAGTCCCTTGGTGACGAAAACATGGAAACGGTTGCCATGGCAGCCATTCTTTGGAGCCCTCACGCTGGAGTGCAAAGTTCAGGATGCCCAAGAGCCGCTGAAATGAAAATCGGGGAAAATCTGCCACTTCCCTCGCCCCAGAAGGATGGGTGGGATGGTGTTCGCTGCTCCCCTGGGCCCGGCCCTCCCCGAACCCCGCATCGTCCTGGGCTGAGCGTGAGGACGGAAGGGGAGCGCGGGGCCTCCGGGGGTGAAGGTGGCAGAGTGGGTCCCAGAGACCTTGAGAGAGGCTGGCCCGGCCAGCTGTAGGTGGCCAGGGGGTGACTGATCGGTACTGCCACATGTCCAGAGCTGCCGAGCCTGCCGCGACCCTGTTTCTTCAGCTGAGATTTGCCGCTGCTTTTCCAGAAGGGCTCAAGCCCACTCGCCCGCCAGGGCAGTCTTCAGCCTGGTCCAGAGGTGAAGACTGCAGGGCACGGCCGGTGCGCTCAGTAGGGGGCACGTCCTCTGTTCTGACCACGGAGGGTGGGGAAGATGACCAGGCTTTCCGTGGCGGGTTAGTGCACGGAGACCCCTCCCTTTGTCCCCCACAGTGATTATACGTCCCCTCGTAGTTCCCCAAGTGGACCCCATGGGGCTCTGCTGACCTGAGATGCGCTAGCCAGGGACGTCTGCCGGCACCGTCGTTTGGGAAGCAACACACACGCGCGCGCGCGCGCGCACACACACACACACACACACACACACACAGTGTGTAGATTGAAGGCTCTGAAAAGTCCCGCAGTAAGGAAACCTCTTGACTTTGGTTAACCCACAATTTCACAACCATGTTTGAACCAAGTTCCGCCCCTCCCCCGCCGCTTTTTCTTTAAGAAGCACTTCCTCCTCCTTTTACAATACCTAATATTGTGCAGAAATGACATTTATTAACATTTACTAGGGCCCTGACGGTTCCAAGTGTGTATTTCCTGCAGCAGCAGCGTCAGCACCAGCTGGCGTTTTGGGAGAGAGGGGCCCAGCCCGGATCCACCGGATCAGAAAGTCTGGGGCGAGGCCACGTGTTTGACAGGCCCTCCAGGGGATTCTGATGCAGGCTCCCGTGGGGACCCGTGTACCGGAGGAGGAAATACTGGCAGAGAATTAGGATTGGGGGGGGTAGCCTGGGGAATTGGAGAGGGTCAAGGGAGGGAGGCAGCGGGGCAGCGGCGGGAGGTGGACAGTGCAAGGACCCTGGACTCGGGAAGGGGCGCCTTGGCCGCCTGGAAGACAGGTTCGTGGCGCGCTGCACCTGGCACTGAGGTCCCATTATGGTTTTCTGAGATTGGGTCAAGGGCGAGGTTGTGCTTCTGGTACTGAGGCTTGATGTTAAGTGACTGGAGCCTTTGGAAAGGCCGGGGTGGAAGGTTGGGGGGTCCCCACCCGGCCTGTGAGGAGTGGTCCTCGCTGCTCTCACGGAGGACACCTGTCCTGGACGGGTGGTCGGTTCCTGTAAGCTTCTGGCCTTCTGGACCCAGAGGGGGCCTGTGCCCACAGGCATTGCTGCGTGTCAGCTTCAAGCTGGGCAGGGGTGAGGCTTGCTGGAGCAGCGGCCCTGGGCCAGGCATCGCAGGTGGGCTTCCACGATCACCCACGCGCTCCCCAGTGGGGTACCCAGTGCAGGCACGTTCCAACCGCGTCTCGTCTTCCTTCGCCATCAGGTGGGCCGCCCCATCCTTGGCTTGAGGAGGGCGGGAGTCACAGGAACCAGGTGGGGGGGGGGCAGGTGGCAACTAGCCCGACTGTGCTTCCTTGCAGCGGTCCAGATCCACATCCTGAAGGCGGACAAAGCAGGGGACTGGTGGAAGTTCACAGTGAACATCATCTCCGTGTACAAGCAGGGCACGAGCCGCATCCGCCGCGGTGACCAGAGCCTGTGGATCCGCTCGCGGGACATCGCCTGCAAGTGTCCCAAAATCAAGCCCCTCAAGAAGTACCTGCTCCTGGGCAACGCGGAGGACTCGCCCGACCAGAGCGGCATCGTGGCGGACAAGAGCAGCCTGGTGATCCAGTGGCGGGACACGTGGGCGCGGCGGCTGCGCAAGTTCCAGCAGCGCGAGAAGAAGGGCAAGTGCAAGAAGGCCTAGCGCGGAGGCAGCGGCGCGCCGGGCTGGCTGGCGGGCGGGCGGGCGGGGCCGAGCGCGAGCGCGCTTTCCCGGGACGGGGCGGGGCGGGGGCGGGGCCGCGGCGGCGGGGGCGGGGCTGTGCCCGCGGCCCCGCCCTCCAGCCCCGCCCCCGCCGCGCGCCCCGGGCGGGAGAGATGAGGATGAGACTTAGCTACCTCACGGGCTCCTTCCAGAGCTGCGGCGCCCTCCCCGGGCGGGGCGGGGCGGGGCGGGGCCGGCGAGGGGGCGGGGCCGCCTGTCCTGGCCGGGGAGGGGGCGGGCGCAGAGCCGCGCAGGGGGGGCCGCCCCCGGAGAAGGGGGAACGTGAGAACTGTGAACCCGGGGCCGGGCCGGGGGCTGAGCAGCCCGGCCGACCACCACCCCGGACACAAAAGACCGAGACGCCCCTCCTTCCCCCGCCTCTCCTTTGTCTGGGGATCCTCACACGGGACCCCCGGCCGCGACAACTTGGCCCCCCCACCCCCGTCCGAAGGGGGCTGGCAGGCACTTGGGGGCGGCCAGAGCGGCCTGTCCCCCCAGCAGGCCCCAGGTGGCCCGTGGCCTCCGCTGCCACCTGCTGAGTCGGTCCTCCAGGGGGGTCGTGGGGTGGGGTGGGGGTTCCAGTCCGCGGAGCCAGAGGAGCAGAGAGCGGAGTCGGCGCCCGTCACCGCGCAGCTGCGCGATGGGTGCGGGCCTGGGACCGTGGCCCGTGCGGTGGGCAGTGGGCCCAAGGACACCCCTGAGAAGCCCCCGCCGGGTGGCCCCCGCCTCACGCTGGAGCTGCCTGTTGGAGGCGGCACTGCGGAGGCAAAACCTCCCAGAGAGTTTCCTTTCTGGAAACTTGGAGCCGGCCCCTTTATGACATTTTCCGGGGGGGGGGGTGCTGAAGGGGCAGTGACACTATTTGTGTAATGAGTCAGCTCCTGGGAGGGGCCTGGACGGCGTGGAATGCAGGTTTGCACCGGCGGGGGGGGGGGGCCCGGCTGGGGGGAGGGGGCCCGCGAGGCCAGCCAGGCTCTGCGGGCTCCGCGCTGACGGGGTGCCCGGCCGGTGGTGGCAGGGATGAGCAGGTGCCTGCGCGCCCAGGAAGCCATGACCACTGTGTGTTACTGCCCTCGCTCCTGGGTCCCCCTCCGCCCGGGGAGGGGGCAGAGGCTGCTGGAGCAGGTATGCCGGCCGAGCCCCCCTCCCCCGGCCCGGGGCCGCCCTCTCCAGCTGCCTTGGTCCAGCCCCGGGCAGTACCCGGACCTTGCGCCGGCCTCACACAGGGCCCATCCCTGAGCCCGCGGGCCTCCTGCCGCCCTGCCCGGAGCCCCGAGCGCTCTGCACTGCCCAGGGGCCTCTGGCCCATGTCCTCCCCCCCCCCCCCCCCCCCCGGGCACACTGAGTTACAGACCTGGCCTCCCTCTCGGTCAGGAAATCGCTTTCATGTTCTCTGCTCAAAAGGGTCCTACCAAGTCTGAAGCTGGCTGGCTCTCCTCCCCCTCCCCCTGCTTCAGCCCCGTGTCGCGGCCGCCTTGTGCTGAGCACCTGCGTTGTGCCCGGCACTTTACCCACGCGAGGTCACGTGTCCATCACGACAGCCCTGAGACGGGGAGGGGTTCTCACCCCACCAGGCCAGTGAGGAAGAGGCAGAACCAGGTTGAGGCTCCAGACCCAGGCCTCCCGGCCACGCTGCCCCTCGGTGCCCGCCACCCTGTGCCCGACCCACTCGGTTCCCGGCGCAGGCCCTGAGGGGGGCTCCTGGCCGAGACCCTGGTCCTGGCTGCTGCCTGCGGCCCGGGGAACAGAAGAGGGGTGGGGCCGGGCGGCATGGGCACAGTAGCATCTTGAGAGGTGGTGGCAAGGACGGAGGGGACTGGGTGTAGAAGTGGCCCTGGGGCCAAGGAGGCTGGCCTTGGCTCATCCTGAGACGCCATGGAAAGGACCTTCGGCCGCCTGGGGGGTCCGGAGGGATCCCAGAGGAGCCTGGAGAGAAGCCTGAGGGGCAGGGAGCAGGTCAGCTGCCTCGGGAAGGAAGAGCGAGGCGGAAGGCTGGGTGCCCAGGGACCCCTCCGGGCAGCCGGGCCTCCTCGAGGCCCCGCCTGGTGTGCTGAGCGCCTCCGCGCTTGCTGGGCCCCGTCCTTGGAAGGCTTGACCTCTTCCTCCGCCCAGAAGGGCTGCGCCCTCCTGGGTCTCCGTGTCGCCCCGGGTCCACGGGGGGCTGGCCCTGCCGGTCTCTGAGGCCCCCTCTGCCCTGGAAGCCTCAGGCAACAGCGCCTCTTGCTTTAAATTCAGCCAGCCTCCGGCCTCACCGTCTGCCCGACACCCCGAGGACAGGGGCTGTCCCATCCACCCGTGACCTGTCGCCCCAGTCACCCAGGTGGGGGCTGAGGCGCTAAGGACTTCAGTCCTCCCAGCCTGCGGTCCCCTTCTGGAGGACGGGGCCAGAAGCCGTGAGCCCCGCCACCAGCTGCGGCAGCGGGGGCCCCAGCCTTGGGAAAGCGCCCCCTCCCGGCCCCCGCCCGCCTCCCCGGGAGGAGCCGGAAGCAGGAAGTGAGGCTTTCCGGTTTGTACAGTTAGGAAGGGACGTTAACGTGGAACTAGACTTTGAAGAGTGTATTAACCAGAGTTGTGCTGTGTAGGTGTTCGACGACACACGTGCCCGATTAGTTCTTAAAACGAAAACAGATCGCCCAGCTGTCCCCTTCCTCACCTGCTGGGTGGTCGGGAGCCCCTGACGGGCAGAGTGCCTGCTTTACTGACACACGGTAGTAACACTAAAGAATGGGGCGGGGGGGGGGGGGGCAGGGAGGGACTGGCCTGCAGGGCGCGGCTTCTGCCCTGAGAGCAGCCCCAGGTGCCTGCAGCCCGGAAGGATGCAAGGAGGGACCGCTGTGGCGCCCCAAGGCCCTTCGTGTCCTCCTAGACCTGTCTCCATAGTGGCATGGGGGAAATGGGTACGCACTTCCTCGGGTTTGCCCCAGATGGGAATAAGGCTGAGGGCAAGGAGACGTCAAGGGATCAGGAAGTGGTCCCTCTGGGAGACTGGGAAACGTCAGGGTGTCAGTACGTAAAGGAAGCCCCCAGCCCCTCCCCGAGAGAGACTGGCGAGTGGATGAACCAGACTCGTGGATGGAGTCGCTGGGCCAGGGGTCATGGCCACGGCCGTGGGGGTCCAAATGTGTTCTCGTGGGGCCTCGCTCCCAGCCCAAACCAAGCTGGTCCCCCTCCTTACGTCACATCTCTTCCTTCTGCTCCTGAAGGCACTCCCGTCCCCCCACCCCCTGCCCAGACCCCTCCTGCGTTTCTGAGTTCTGTTCGCTCAGAATTGTAAATGTTTAGTTGTGACCATGACATATTGTTTGGGTCAGTGTTCCTTTCCAATGCATACTAATATATTATGGTTATTATATATGAATATATTTAATGACATGGAAAAAGTTGTGGATTTTCTTTTTTTTTTAAGTTTCTTTTTTTTTGGTTTTTGTTTTTGTTAGAGTTGTAACGGACCCAGATAGAACTTGTAACGTGGGCCCCACATGATAGAACTAAGTTCAGATATCAATTAAATAAACTCTTGTACACTGTGTGCTGTCTCCCAGTGTTTATTGGCGGCCTGAGCATGCGGGGGAAGGGGGGCGCTGGGGGAGAAAGTTGGGGCGTCTTCAGGCAGCTCTTATGGAATGTGGCTTCTGGCCTTAGAAGTTGCCAGCAACGCTGAGCCCTAACTACCCCAGAAAAGACCAGAAAAGGGCACCTTTGCTTGGAGAGCATCCTAAGGTTTGCTGGCTGAGTGCAACTTGGAGCAAAAGAGCTTCCAGGTGGGACAGTGTGTGTTTCAGTCCCCCCAAAACCTCCAGGTCAGGGCGGCCCCAGGGGACGGCAGAAAGAGGGGTCACCTGCCCCCAAATTCAACAGCAGGGCAGAGCGCACCTTTGAACTTCACCTCCGGATTCAGAACCCGCAAGTGGCATTTCTGCCTTTCACACAGTCAGTTCCTTCTGCTCAAAGCCCAGCAGAGACCCTCGAGGAAACGGCCACAGGTGGGGCTGGTGAAACCCGGAGGGGGTTTCCGGCCACCGCTAAAGGCCGCACGCGGTGCGGGCACAGGGCTGGGGCCACGCAGCCACCAGGAGCTGAGCTCACGGGGCTTCTCAGAGGCTGTATTTAAACTCTGAGAGTTGCGCTTTCCTTATTAAATCAACAGTTCGGTCACTAGGAACACGCCGTGTCCCCACGCCGCATGGGGCCGGGCCGATGTCACCAGGAAGCTGTCATTTCTGCGCCCAGCTGTTTCAGGGACGGGTGTCCGCAGCCTGGAAGGCAGGGAAAGGCTTTTCCTGGCTGCGCGGGGAGGTGACGGGGATGGGGGCCAGCCCAGCTGCCTCAGGGGTCCGGCTCTGAGAGATGGGTGCCTGGTCCTCCGAACCAGGGGCCAAAGCCAGACCAGGGGGGTCTCCGGTGTCCCCATCCGTTCGGGAGCAGCTCTCTGCTGGAATGGCAATGCCTGACACTGGGTACAGGTACAGGGTTCAGGTCTCAGTTGGCTGGACGGGCCGGGGGGGAGGGGACGCCAGTTCATACCCCGGGGGGTGGGGCATCTGTGGACTGAAGACCTACCTGCCGAGTCGCCGGGGCCCAGAGGCCTATGCTGCACGCGGGGGTCGGAGGCTCACCTTGCGTCATCCTAGGTCGAGGGTCCAGTTCTCAAGAACTTTCGTGACATGGCTTTTTTCTGTCCTTCATGAAAAAAGGTGTTTGTGCCTAAAGAGTGCCGTTACGCCTTCGGGACCCCACCACAGCCGAGCCCCGGGCCCCTGGCCAGAAGGAAGCAGCCTCACTGCCCTGGAGGGCCTCGAGCTGCAGCTGGGGAGGGGACGCACGGCTACCTGCCAAAGTCAGTGTGGGAAGCAAGCCCGAGGTGGCCGACCGGCCCATTCAGACACGGCCGCTGATGCCTGAGGCGGCTGGGCTGCCCTGTCCGGGGCTTGGGGCCCAGCGTGGATACGGCCCAGACAAAAGCCCAGACCCTCCTGGGCGAGGAAGCCTCCCAGGCTCTGCCCCGCTTTCGGGGAGGCCAGGCCCCCTCATCTGTAGAGCTGCCCCCGCTCCAGACGGTGCCCTGCCCGCTGCGACAGAGACAGCCGAGGCTTCAGACTTTGTTGAATAGACCTCTCTTTCCACGCTCTCTTAAGACTAAATAGAGACGTATAAGGACCACGCCAAGACAAATGGGGAACGAAAGGGCCAACAGAGCCAATGAGACACACGTTGGACGGGTGAGCTCCCTGCGTATCGAACTGGAGATGCCTCAGGGCCATGAGCCATTGACGGGAAGCGGTTAAGTCTTCTTGTTATTTGCAGGAAGTTGGGAGGAAGTCTGACACTGTACGAAGTGATCAGAGGAAAGACGAGTCTCGGCTCGCTTTTTAAAATAAGGTGGGGGGACACACCATTTAACTTGGGCCGGGCTGGGCTGGAAAGCCCGATAGAGAAAAGGGGATCTTTGGTCCTATGCGGAGAGCTCCCAGTGTAAGCTGGGGCTGAAGAAGTGGGGCGGACGGGTCCCGCGGTGGCTGAGGGGCAGTCGGGGGAATTCTGCAGTGGCCACGTGCAGGGCACAGCTGGGGCCCAGGGGACCCTGAAAGGAGCAGATCGTCCTGGGGCTAATAAAGACTAAGGTTTAGTTACAGTTACTGATAGTAATGAAATTTCAACAAAACCCTAGTACCCACTATAAGCAGGTATATGGATTTCTTTATATGGTATCAACCTTTAAATGCTTACGATTAATAATCACCTAAGTTAAACAATACTTATAGTGCTATTTTGATACAGTTTGCTTTCATGAAGAAAACGCTCAAGGGGGGTGGGGGCTAAGGCCCTGTCTCGCCTCTCTTTATGCTCAGGGTGAGGGGTCTTACCGTCCACACGACCAATTCAGAGTGCGGGACTGTGGGAATGCAGGCCTGACACCTTGCAGGGGGAAGCTGGCTGGGACATGCCACCTTGGCATTGGTCACTTGACTCCGGGGTGGGTCTTGGGCCACGGATCCCCCCAAAGTGGCTCATTCCAGCCAGGTGTCCTTTGCTTCAGAGCGGTGGGTGTTTCCCGTGAGAAGCCCAGTCCTGAGGACACTAATGAGCGGGGGCAGGGTGGGGGGGGGGCTTCCTGCCTGGCACCACCCTGCCCCCTCCCTGGCATGGCACAGCCCAAGGCTCAGATGGTAGGTCCTCACATTCTAGCCGGCCAGCTCATTACCCCCTCCCCTGCCCGCGGGCCCAGAGAAGTGCAGTCACTTGTCCAGGGGGCCCAGCTAGCAGGGCTGGGGCTGGGCGCGGAGCCCGCTCAGTCAAAAGAACAGAAGCTGCTGTATGCAGACATCGGCTCAGTGTTTGGCTTGAAAAGGCCTTTCCGTGTGACTGAGCCAGGACGCCATGGCTCGGGTTCAAAGACGCCCCACCAGTTGCCGGGGCTCCGTGCTGAGCAAGTCAAGAGGAGGTGAGAAAGTCAAACAGACCTTCAATGCCGCCTCCCGGGAGCCCCAAAGTGGAGGGGGGGGTGTTCCAAGGAGATGCTGTTTATACGGATTTGGGGTTTCGCACGACAAGGCTAGAAGACAGGGGTTTGCAGATTCTTGATCTTCCTTTCGGTGATCTGTTAGCAACCACCCGCCTCCCCCGTGCAACAGGGCAAAAGCCTTCGAGGGCACCGCACCGGCCGCGAGCCTCGGCCCCCCTTCCAGCACGGCCCATCTCCTTCGGGAGCTCACCCTTCGCAGAGGCACTGCCCCCGATGCCCGAATCTCGTCCTTCTCCGAGCCCCGACAGATGCCTCCCAGCCTGACAGCGCCCCACGCTGGCGCGGCCACTTACCATCATGCTTCAGCCTTGGAAAATGAGGTCACGGTCCCAGAGGAAAGGGACGTGCTTGGCCCGGAAGGTGATTCCCCCAGTGGGGTCCAGCTTTCTGAGTGATGGCAGCAGCCCCAGGCGCAGTGACTTGGGCGGGGTGGCGGGGTGACAGGTACACACACGGACCCCCGTCCCCCACCCCCTGCCTGCACACACAGGGACTCACTGTTTCCTCCGTGGGCACATGACGTCCCCAGGCAGGCAGACATTCGTGGCCACTAACTGCCGCAAACCACCGGCAGCCACGGGGCACGACCGCCGGTGGGACCCTGGGCCAGCGCCCCAGTGACCGAGGTGGACTCTGAAAGGGTCACGTGGGGCCTGGAGCGCCACGCAGCCCTCCAGAGCCGTCCGGCTCTGCTTTACCGAAGCAACGCACAGCGGACCTTCAGAGCGTCGGGGGAGTTTATTGAGAGCAGCTTTTGCGTGTAGCAACGGGGTGCCGAGCTTCTCTCCACCACTGGCAGCGTCACAGCCGGGGGGCCCCTCACTGCCACTAGTTGGTGGGCCAGACCGCCACGACCACGATGGCCACGAGCAACAGTAAAATCACCATGATCATCCCTGGAAAACAGAAGCACGAGAGATGCGTTGAGCGATCTGGACCCGAAGGGCATCGCGCAGCCTGTTAACCACCTTTCCGGGGGACCCCCCCCCACAGTCTTCAGGGTGTGTTCAGTGTCGGGGGCGGGGGTCAGCCGCCCTGGGGGCTCTGGGCTGCCGGGTGCAAGGCTGGGGCTCCGGGGGGGCCCGGAGACTCGTGGCGGGGCACAGCATAGGATCACGTGGTGGTTTGGCCACCAGCCCTGCCCACCTCAGACTGCGAAGCTGTTTCCAGAAAGGTCAGTCCCAAGAGTCCACTCCCTGTGCTCTTCTAGGAAGCCACTAACACACTGCGGATGTTATTAACTAGGTACCTGCTGGCCGTGTGGGGCTATTTAAATTTCAATTAAAATCGGGAATTAAAATTTAAAATTAATTAAATAGGGAAGCCTGGTGGCTCAGTTGGTTGAGCGTCTGACTCTTGATTTCGGCTCAGGTTATGATCTCAGGGTCATGGGATCAAGTCCCACTTCAGGCTCCGTGCTGAAGACGGAGCCTGCTTGGGATTCTCTCTCTCTCTACCTCTCTCTGTCTCTCTCTCTCCCTCTGCCTCCAACCCCGCTCTTGCAGGCACTCTCTCTCTCTCAAGTAAAAAAGTAAATAAAAATTTAAAAAATACATAAAGTTAGAACTCAGTTTCTCAGCTACACACCGTACGTCGAGCGCTTAAGAGCCACCGTGCCCAACGGCTACCATGTGGGACAGAGACAACAGAGGCCACTTCCTTCATCACAGGAAGTGCTCCTGGGAGAAGTGACGTAAGCTATGGAGCTGTGATGCTGCCCCCCCCCCCCCCCCCCCCGCCCCGTTCTTACGCCCCTAGCTGCTCTGCCAGCATCTGGAGCAGAGACTTCTCACATATTTGTGAACAAATGGACACGCGGCGCTTCCTCGACACTCACCCTACGTGCTCAGACAGCTTTCCGACGTGGGAATACTGCCCTCCCTTCTTGGGTCGGTTTTGTTAAGTTATATTTTCCTGGGAAACTGCCTATTTCTTTCTGAGTGCTCGAAAGCACTGGTGTAAGACCGTTCATGACATTCTCTCATAATTCGAACACTGTGCTCTGTGTGCTTTTTTTCATCTCTTACACCACGTAGTTGAGCATTCTTTTTCCCGGTTAGGCTTGCCTCAAGATGCCTCTTTTTGTTCAACTTTTCCAATAATTGGTTTTTTTTTTTAAGCTTCTTAATTTATTTTGAGAAAGACAGAGACAGTGTTGAGCAGGGGAGGGGCAGAGATCAAGAATCCCAAGCAGACTCTGAGCTGTCGGCACAGAGCCCAACACAGAGCTCAAACCTGTGATCCGTGAGACCATGACCTGAGCTGAAACTGAGAGTCAGACTGAGCCACCCAGGTGCCCCCGAAGAGTAAGTCCTGACCCTGTGGACCATCTCTCATTTATGTTTGTTTTACTGAATTTCTGCATCTATTTTTGTTAATCTTCGTATTTGTAGACTTTCTTTGGCTTTCTCTCTGCTGTTCTTTCTCTAAACTCTTGAACCAAAAGTCAACTCATTCATTTGCCATCTTTCTGGCCCCTGTAAGCCTATAACTTCCCACGTGAAAAAGTTGCACCGATCTTAGTTTCTAAATTCCATGTATTTTGAAATTTTTCTGTAACTTCTTCTTTGGCCCAACAATTATTCAGAAACGTGTTTTAAAATTCCCAGTTATAGGACAGTTAATCGTCCGACTTTGGCTCAGGTCATGATCTCGCAAGTGTGTGAGTTCGGGCCCCGCGTCGGGCTCTGTGCTGACAGCTCGGAGCCTGGAGCCTGCTTCAGACTCTGTGTCTCCCTCTCTCCCTGCCCCTCCCCTGCTCACGCTCTGTCTCTCTCCCTCCCAAAAATAAACATTAGAAAAAAAATTTTTTTTTAATTCTCAGTTATAACAAAATGTGCTTATTGAATATATATTTTAACTATTTGAGATCATAATAACACACCCTATTTCGATGTGGAAATGCCTGTGACTGCCACTGGTGACAAGGCCCTCAGGAGTATTATCAGTACTGTGGTTTGCTGCCTATGCTCTTAACGGAAGACAGGGGTACATCTCAGTTGGAGGTTCGTGGAAGTAAGAATGCAATCTGCTTTCCCACCCAAGTTCACAGGCGCCCTGAATCCTCTCCACAGACCTCCAGGGTCCGATGCAGTCCAAGTACTATGTGTTTTCAATCCGACGCATGTAAGGCGGAACACGCCCCTCGTGTTAAATGCTCAGAAGGGACTTATAAACATCCGGCCAGCTTTCTCGTCACCTCCCTGCGAGAGGGGCGATGTTTTCCTAAGATACCCTCTTTCCCTGATGATCTATCTGATCTTTTGAGAGTACGCACCCCGTCGGGGGCCTAAGATTTCTCTCCCTGATTTCATACGGACACAGACCCAAGTCTCTACATCAAGGTTGAGCCAGACCTGGCTGGTGGTCTGTTTCTGGACAACCCCTCAGCCAAGAGATGGTTTTCCTGTTTTCTAAGGGTTGTCAAAAAAGACCAAGAAGAAGACGTGCCCCGCCGCCCGTGGTCTGCAAAGCCTAAATTCTTTGCTGTCTGGTTTTTCACAGAATCGTGCCAATCCCTGCCCTGCATCACTAAGGCCGATAACCTCGCGGCGGCCTCGGTTCATCCATTTAGGCTCTGGTTCCAGCTCTTGCTCCCCTTCCTTCTTCTGGGGATTTGCTCTCTTCCTTGTAAAGACAGCGGTGCGTTAGCATTTCAGGGGAGAGGCTGTATTGTGTTATCTTACCTTTTGAGATGCTTGTAGTAAGGGGTGTGTGTGTGTGTGTGTGTGTGTGAACGTCACCTCGGTCCATCTTCTCGCCAGATCCAGAGCAAGTCCCCTTTTTGTGCATTTCTGCCTCCAGAAACACCTTCAGGTTGACCGAGAGCCCCACTGGGCAGGAGTCCCACGGCTTCCTGGCTGAGCAGGGACATCGTCCTGCTTAATATCAGGGACAATCCTAGGAATGGAGGACGCAGATGGCCCGGGGAGCACCGGGGGCGGCTGCTCGCGCTCTAGAGCCCACGCTCCCCCCAGGACAAGGGGGCGGCCTGGGCGTCGAGGGGGGCTCTGGACTGGGGGGGAGGCCAAAGGAGAGGCCGACACAAGTGACCCTGAGCCTTCGCGTCAGGGTGGTGATGAGCACAGTGGACGGAACAAGAGAGGGGAGCGAGAGACGAGAGCGGCGCCCGGCTGGGAGGTCGGCGCCACACGCCCGGGGTCAGCCCGTACATGCACAGCTCACGGTCCACGGGACGAGGCCACTGGCACCTGAGTGGCCGAGACAGGGACCGAGCCCGCCTGGTCGCTGCCATCTCCCCAGCGCCACATAGAGCCTCGCCCACAGAAGGCGCGCCGTACATCCTTTCCTATATAAATGAATAAATGCACCGAGTGACTGGAAGGGACGAGAATAACCGGTAAGAAAGACAAAGGAGGAACAGTCGACAGAGAGAGACAGAAGCTGAGAATATGTGTCAAGGAAGCCGAAGAAAGAGAAAATTCAAAAAGTGGTCCAGAACCTTGAAGAAGGTTCAGGAAACCAGGGTGCGCGGAGGGTCAACTGAGCAAGTCATTTCAAGATGGCAAGTGACGGTGGCCGGCAAAGGCCAGCTGTGGCCTTTTGGATTCTTTGGGCCAAAGAGCAGGTGTTTACATGTCTTAACCACCCGGCGATCCTTTCTCTTTAAGAGTCTGGCCTTCTTGGAATGAGGCCACGGCTCTGGGACCTTTCTTGAATGGAGTCTCTCTTCTCTGAAGGATGTGTTAGGAAGAGTCACCGAGGCTCGTTCTAAAGCCGGGCAGGGCTGAGCGGTGCCGTGCATGGAATATTCCTGCGCTCGGGCTTCTGTCGGATCCCCTTGCTCATCTGCAACTTAGCGGGAGAGAAATCCCGTCTCCATCTCATCCACGAGGGAAAGCTCCCTTCCCGAAGGCCCTGCTGCTGCTGGGGAGAGGGGGGAAGAGGGGCCCTGGGATCCAGGTGGCAGTGACCCGTTCCACGTCTTCCCCTTTCTCTGCACCAGTGGGGCCCGTGCAGGGGGTATCCTGGCTCCCGACACGGCGTGGGGCTTATCAGCGACAGGGGCCCTGACTCCCCTGGGCTGCATATCTGGGGTACAGAGTTTCTACTCACTTTTCCCCCCGTCTCCTCTTTTCCCTTCCTCCTTCCCTCCTTCCCACGGTCTACGGTGGCAACTTTGAAACAGATACAGAAGCAGATGAAAGAGTGTACGGTGCCCTGTGATGCACGAGGCTCGATTCGCGGCCAGCCTGGCCTCACCTGTCCCCTCCCCCGTGCCCTGCCCCCGGTGTGTTCTTTTGAAGTGAACCCCAGACAGACATACTTCATCTCCCGATACTTCAGTGAGAACCCCTCGAAGATAAGCCATCATTAAAAAAAAAAGGCCCCACCACGCGTAAGCACCGATAGTTTGCTTCTTCTCGGAGACAGAGGTGGGGAAGAGCCTCGGCAAAGTGGCTCAGGCCGGAGGTCACGGGAAGATTGTGACTCGTGTTCTGTCACGTGTGACAGAGAGAACTCCTTTCTTTGGCCTCGGAGTGGTGTTGAAACCCCAGGGGTCGGCTCGTCCATCCCCCAGCGACGGAAATGTTTGACATTTCAGAACGAGGCAGGACAGTTGAACTTCTGGGAACCTGCCAACTGCTCAAACAATGGCTGCTCTTTGCCCCCGGCCCCAGCGCGAAAGCACCTGGCGGGGCCCCTGCGGCGGGATCGCTTCCTCCCTGCCTCGCTCAGCGCCGGGGCCGGGCAAGGCGGCCTCTCCCTCCCGGCACCCAGTGGCTCCTGCGGGGGGCAGGCGGGGGGGCGGGGGCAGGCGATGCCAGAGTTACGGGAGTGGAAAAAAATGTCCGCTTCCCTCGGTCAGGTCACCAGGTGACGATTACTTGACCACTTGCGATACTGACGGGTCCGCTCACGGCAAGTAAGGAGA